CGTGACCAGGGGGGCGTTTTATCAGGTTCGCCTGATTTACCAGTTGCGGCCTTTTCTGGACCGGGACGCCTTACGCACAGTCACTCATGCTCTTGTCACCTCCCGCCTGGACTACTGTAATGCTCTCTACATGGGGCTCCCTCAGAGGAGCACCCGGAGGCTTCAAATGGTCCAGAATGCGGCCGCGCGGGCGGTGTTGTTAAATGACTGTTTTTATGTCAAGGACTATGGAAAGAAGGAAATTATGTTGCAACCTTAGAGAAAGAGGGTAAAATATAAATGAACATGTAACTGCTGTTAAGATTGAAAACTGCTTTATCACTTTTCCTTTCCCCTTCCTTTCCTTGCACCTTTTTTCATTTACTGTTTACCTTCTTTACTTTTTTCTTTCAGAATTTGTATTGTTATTAATATATACATAATAATAAAATAAAAAGTTACTGTAAGTGAAAAGAGAAAGCAAGTGGAACTATAGCCTAGAATGAGATTGGAGATGAAGCGTGTAGAAGATGAACGTAAGGGAGAGAGTTAAGACCAAGATATTGTAATTTGGCACTAGAATGTACCATTTCTACTTTACAAAATCTAGTGTTGCTTCACATACAATATAATGAGCCTCTTCATTTGTTGGACAGAATATCACTGACCGGAGGCCCTATCCTGATGATGAAAATCTGGTAGAAGTGAAGTTTTCCCGTACTCCTGTGATGTCAACATATCTTGTTGCTTTTGTGGTTGGAGAATATGACTTTCTTGAGACCAGGACCACTGATGGTGTGTTAATCCGTGTTTATACTCCCGTTGGCAAAGCAGAACAAGGGAAGTTTGCATTAGAGGTAATATAGGCTTAAAGATCTTTATATCTATTGCTGTATGGCAGTTGCTGGAAAACAAAACCAAAGTGTTAAAAATACTTTAATTTCATTTAACTTGCAACTTCAAATGCATGTTTATATGTAAAATATAGGGAATTTTAACAATCTCAAACATTACTATGGACTGTAGAATATTATAGATGACATATAGATGGACCAAAACGTAATCTCTGGCATCTTAGGGTAAACCTGGGGCAAAAATTGATTTGAAGAGATGAGTATTGTCACTAAGCAGTGCCAAAAGCATTGAGTTAAACAGACCGCATAAATGGGCAGTTTCCAGTGTGTTTCATGGTGGAATGGGCCACAATTCCTCAGAATGTAGGGTATATTTTGCAATAGAAATTAATATCACAGAGGTCAGGTTTTATTTATTTATTAAACTTGTATGCTGCCCATCTCTCTACCGAGCAATTCATTTATAATACAATGATTCCCATAACTCTGAAATTAAGGACTTCAGTGTTACAGGTTTCAAGTGCTTAGGTAGAACTGGGATCTAGAAAACAAAAATTCAAAGAGACAGGATATTAGATAGTGAACTTCTTATATCAAGAATTCCCCCCACTTATAAAAAGATACCTTTTTATAAAATGGCCTTCGATACCATTCACCATGGTTTCCTTCTGGAGTGGCTTTGGGGGTTGGGAGTGGGGGGCTCTGTGTTGTCCTGGTTCACTTCCTTCCTCTGTGGCCGCTCTCGGTGTTGATAGGAAGCGAGAGGTCCAGCCCTTGTCCACTGCTTTGTGGGGTTCCGCAGGACTCAGTACTCTCTCCGCTTCTGTTTAACATCTACATGAAACCACTGGGTGAGATAATCTGCCACCATGGACTGAGATATCATCAATATGCTGATGATACTCAGCTATATGTCTTGGCCCATGGTAACTTAAGTGATGCCATGACCTCCCTCTCACAGTTCTTGGAGGCTGTTAAGGACTGGATGGGGAGCAGCGGGCTAAAACTGAACTCTGGCAAGACTGAGTGGCTCTGGGTTTGGGGTTCCTTGGTCCATGGAGAATTTGGTTGCGGATGGGGTGGCACTGCCCCAAACAGACCCAGTGCGTAATCTGGGGGTTCTCCTGGACTCACGATGCCTGCTCAAGGAGCAGGTGGCAGTCGTGGCCAGGAGGGCCTTTGTGCAACTCTGGGTTGTATGCCAGTTATGCCCTTTCCTGGACCAACAATCCTTGCTCAGTCACTCATGCCCTAGTCACCTCCCATCTTCACTATTGCAATGCGCTGTACATGGGGCTGCCCTTGAAAAGCATCCAGAAGCTCCAATTGGTTCAAAATGCAGCAGCCTGCATGGTTTTGTACACATGTGTCACCTCTCCTGTGGGAGCTGCATTGGCTGCCAATTTGCTTCCAGGTGCAATTCAAGGTGCTGGTTGTCACCTTTAATGCCCTACATGGCTTGGGGCCAGGTTATCTGAAGGACTGTCTCTTCCCTTTTACATCCACCTGACCCACCAGAGCGGGGAGGCAGGGAATGTTGTGAGTCCCGTCTCCAAAGGAGGTACGTCTGGTGGGACCCAGAACAAGGACCTTCTCCATGGTGTCTCCCTTCCTTTGGAACATCATCCCCGCAGAGATTAGTCCGACCCTTACTTTGACACTCTTTCACACAGGGCCCTGAAGACCTGGTTCTGCCAATGGGCCTGGGGAACCCAGAGTAGGATGGAGCCCATTAAGTGGCTCATTTGATTGCTTGTTGTCGCCAGGGGGGTGGGGGGGTTATTGTTTTTATTCTTTTTATATTAGTTTTTTATTGTTTGTAAGCCTTCCAGAATCACTGAGAGTGAGTGGACGGCCATATAAATCTAATTAATTAAATACATACATACCGTAGAAATACATTTTATGATGCCTTATATTTTGGTAAATCGTGAAGTTATGGTATCTTTATTTAGTGAGAAGTTTAAAAATGCTTCAAGCTATCTAGAAGTAAAGATTGAATTACAATATCATGGTCAGTTACTAAAAGATGGGTAATATAAAGTTAAACAGGCCATATTATATTTTTTCATATTTTTATTTCTGTAGGTTGCTGCTAAAACCTTGCCTTTTTATAAAGACTACTTCAGTGTTCCTTACCCTCTCCCAAAAATTGATCTCATAGCTATTGCAGACTTTGCAGCAGGTAAAATACTTTATATTTTTCTGAAGTCCTGAGCTTTCTTTACATTATAATACAGTTCAGAAGAATGTTGTGTGCATCGATATCAATAAAACTTTTTATTTATTTTGAAAGGTGCCATGGAGAACTGGGGCCTTGTTACTTATAGGTATGATTTTAAAATACTATATTCTTTCCATTGTCTTATGTTCATGTTTCCATGTTCATTAATTTCCCCAAATTTATCAAGTGAGTTCTAAAGAGTTGGAATGAATTAGGTTTTGTACTGATTAGCATAAAGTAGCTTTCTTGAACTTGGACTGTGTTCCATCTTGAATAGCATGAACTTTCTGTAAAGTATGTTCTTTGGAAGATCGTTGCAGAAATAAATATGAATAATGATTCAAGAATCATAATACTTTTGCATTTTAATAACATCTGCCTGGACATACAGTAAGGGAAAAAATTATTTGATCCCCTGCTGATTTTGTACATTTGCCCATTGACAAAGAAATGATCAGTCTATAATTTTAATGGTAGGTTTATTTTAACACTGAGAGACAGAATAACAACAAAAAATAAAAAAAGCATTTCAAAAAAGTTATAAATTGATTTGCATTTTAATGAGTGAAATAAGTATTTGATCCCCTATTAATCAGCAAGATTTCTGGCTCCCAGGTGTCTTTTATACAGGTAACGAGCTGAGATTAGGAGCACTCTCTTAAAGGGAGTGCTCCTAATCTCAGCTTGTTACCTGTATAAAAGACACCTGTCCACAGAAGCAATCAATCAATCAGATTCCAAGCTCTCCACCATGACCAAGACCAAAGAGCTGTCCAAGGATGTCAAGGACAAGATTGTAGACCTACACAGGACTGGAATGGGCTACAAGACTATCACCAAGCAGCTTGGTGAGAAGGTGTCAACAGTTGGTGCGATTATTCGCAAATGGAAGAAACACAAAATAACTGTCAATCTCCCTCGGTCTGGGGCTCCATGCAAGATCTCACCTCGTGGAGTTTCAATGATCATGAGAACGGTGAGGAATCAGCCCAGAACTACACGGGAGGATCTTGTCAATGATCTCAAGGCAGTTGGGACCATAGTCACCAAGAAAACAATTGGTAACACACTACGCCATGAAGGACTGAAATCCTGCAGCACCTGCAAGGTTCCCCTGCTCAAGAAAGCACATGTACAGGCCCATCTAAAGTTTGCCAATGAACATCTGAATGATTCAGAGGAGAACGGGGTGAAAGTGTTGTGGTCAGATGAGACCAAGATCAAGTTCTTTGGCATCAACTCAACTCTCCGTGTTTGGAGGAGGAGAAATGCTGCCTATGACCCCAAGAACACCATCCCCACCATCAAACATGGAGGTGGAAACATTATGCTTTGGGGTGTTTTTCTGCTAAGGGGACAGGACAACTTCACCACATCAAAGGGACGATGGAGGGGGCCATGTACCATCAAATCTTGGGTGAGAACCTCCTTCCCTCAGCCAGGGCATTGAAAATGGGTCATGGATGGGTATTCCAGCATGGCAATGACCCAAAACACATGGCCAAGGCAACAAAGAAGTGGCTCAAGAAGAAGCACATTAAGGTCCTGGAGTGGCCTAGCCAGTCTCCAGACCTTAATCCCATAGAAAATCTGTGGAGGGAGCTGAAGGTTTGAACTGCCAAATGTCAGCCTCGAATCCTTAATGACTTGGAGAAGATCTGCAAAGAGGAGTGGGACAAAATCCCTCCTGAGCTGTGTGCAAACCTGGTGGCCAACTACAAGAAACGTCTGACCTATGTGATTGCCAACAAGGGTTTTGCCACCAAGTACTAAGTCATGTTTTGCGAAGGGGTCAAATATTTATTTCACTCATTAAAATGCAAATCAATTTAACTTTTTTGAAATGTGTTTTTCTGGATTATTTTGTTGTTATTCTGTCTCTCACTGTTAAAATAAACCTACCATTAAAATTATAGACTGGTCATTTCTTTGTCAGTGGGCAAATGTACAAAATCAATAGGGGATTAAATAATGTTTTCCCTCACTGTAACTAAACTACCTTCATATCCATTGCTACACCATAGTATTACAACTATAAACATGAGAGCCATGTACTTTTGTTTTTTTCCTCCTTATTCTTGACCCCAGCTTATTGAATTTTTATATCATTCTACAGGTAGTCTTCGATTTATGACCATTTGTTCAGTGACCATTGGAAGTTACGATGGTGCTAAATGAAGGGACTTATGACCTGTGACTGAAGGTACAGCCATTGTAGCACCCCCCTCAGTCACATGATTGTGATTTGGGTGCTTGGCACCCCATTCACATTTACAGCCTTTTGCCAAACACTCCACAATCTAGTGATTGCCATTTGCAATCTTCCATGTTGGATTCCCCAGAAAGTCAGTGGGGTTAAGGCAAGTCTCTCCACTCTGGTGCTGCAAATCCTCCATGCTAAAATCGAAGCAGGATTTCCAGACCCAGAGTAGAAAAACCTGCCTTTCCACTTTGGGGCTGAAAATCCTAGCTGGATTTCAGCACAGAGGATTTTTAGATGCAGAGCAGAGAGTCAAGTCTCCATCTGCTTAATGACCTGTGATATTGCTTAATGAATGCAACATGAGTGCCAGGATTGCAGTGGTTGAATGAAGCAATCACTCAATGTCTCAATAATCACTTTGCTCAACAATTGAGGTTCCGGTCCCAGTTGTGGTCATAAGTCGATGACTTCCTGTAGTTCAGAAATGTTAGTTAAGGCAAGATCAGTGGAAGTATGTTCATGTGCACATCATTTTTGAGCAATCTGTGACTTGTGTGTGAAGATTAGTGTAATATATAAACACTAATTAGTGTAAGATTAGTGTAATATATAAACCATCCATTCACTAGCACCAAAGTCTGACACCATGGTTTACTTTTAGTTAATAGCTTTATTTTTTGGTCTTTTCTGGGCAGATAGAGCCAGGGCATAATATTTACATATTAAACTGAGCAAACCAAAGCATAGCTGGCTTAGGTGTATTTGCATGTGTTTGCTGCTAAACCAACCTCTACCATAGCATAGCATGTTTACATCTAATGATTTACTGAAGCAGCCAAGTATTAAGCTGTCTTTAAAAATTCTGGCTTCTAGTAATAAAATGGTTTCTGTTGATGTAGGAGGAAGAGTGACAGAACCTGGAGGCAGACTTAAAAGAGGGATCAGCCTAGAATCCCTACATTGCCACAAGGGAACTAACTCCAACCAACCTTGAATCTGTTGACCCTTACAGTTGCAAGAAAAAGTATGTGAACCCCTTGGGATAACGCGGAATTTTGCATGAATTGGTCATAAAATGTGCTCTGAACGTCATCTAAGTCACAACAATAGAAAAACACAGTCTGCTGAAAATAATAATACACAAACATTACATGTTGTCATGGTTTAATTGAACATAACATGTAAACATTCACAGCGCAGGGAGGA